TCCACAATATATAAAGAACTCTTACAACCCAACAACAGAAAGACAAAGAACTCAACTCTAAAATGGACAAAGGATTTGAATAGACATTTTTCTAAAGACAATACATAAATGTCAATAAGTGCATAAGATGCTTAGCATCACTAGCCATGATTGTTGTTGTTAAAAGCCATCAAGTCAGCTCTGATTCATAGTATAGGGTTTCTTAGGGACAGTTGGTGGATTTGAGCCACCAACTTTGCAGTTAGCAGTCCAGTGCTTATCCTACAGCATCATACCAGGACTCATTATTCATTGCTGTTGTTGTTGTTAAGTGCCATCGAGTCGATTCTGACCCATAATGACCCTGTACAAGGTTTCCAAGGAGCAGCTGGTGAGCTTGAACCACCGACCTTGCAGTTCAAACGACTTTGCAGTCTGATGCATTAGACCACAGTGTCACACCAGGACTCCGAGAAATGCAAATCAAAACCATAATGAGGCACCACTGTATACCCACTTAAAAAAAAGCCAAACCGATTGCCAGCAAGTCGATTCTGACTCATTGTTCTTGTTAAGTACTGTCAAGTCAGTTCTGACTCATAGCGATCCTATATAGAGTTTTCAAGGTTGTAAATCTTAATGGGAGCAAAAAGCCTTAATTGAACTGGTTTGAATTGCTGACTTTGCAGTTAGCAGTTCAGTGTTTATCTTACAGTGCCACCAGGGCTCCTTTCATACCCACTGCTGCTGCTGCTGCTGCTGCTGCGTGCTACTGAGTAGGTTCCAAATCATAGCAACCTTGTATAGGGTTTCTAAGGCTATAAATTTTTATGGAAGCAAAAAAGCTTCATCTTTCTCCCACGGAGCAGCTGGTAGATTCGAACTGCTTACCTTGCAGTTAGTAAAGCAACATGTAACCCACTATGCTACCAGAGCTCCTTCCCATATTCACTTTGTTTTCTAAGTGCCATTGAGTCGGTTCTGACTCATAGTGACCCTGTATAGGGTATCCAAGGAGCAGCTGGTGGGTTTGAATTGTCAGTCTTGTGATTAGCAGGTCAGTGCTGATCCTACAGCACTTCACACCAGGCTATACCCACTGGGATGGTTATACTAAAAATGTTAAAAAGTAGGCACTAACAAATGTTGACAAGGATGTAGAGAAATTGGAATGCTCATACATTGTTAATGGGATTGTAAAATATCATTGGATGTAGGAAACATAGCATTATACATAGAGTTACCATATGATCCAGTAATTTCACTCTTACGTACATAACAAGAATAAATGAAACATATATTCACACAAAAATCTGTACATGAATGTTCATAGCATCATTATTCATAACAGCTTAAAAATGTAAACAACTCCAGTGTCCATCAGTCAATGAATGGGTAAACAAAATGTGGTATAGACATACTATGGAATAGTATTCAGCCATAAAAAGGAATGAACCACTGATACAAGCTACAACATGGATGAACCTTGAAAGCATGCTACATGAAAGAAGTCAGACACAAAAATATGATTCTATTTACATGAAATGTCCAGAATAGAAAATAATCTATATAGAGAGAAAGATTAATGGCTGCCAGGGGACAGGAGGAAGGGGTCATTGGAAGTAACTGCTAACAAGCGTGAGGCTTCTTTTGGGGTGATGGAAATGTTCTTAAAAGCCCTGGTGGCACTATAGAATAAGCACTGGACTGCTAACAGCAAGGTTGACACTTCAAACCATGGAAGATGAGGGTTTCTGCTTCCATAAAGATTTACAGCCTCGGAAACACTATACAGGGTCGCTACAAGTCAGAATTAACTCGATGGCAGTGAGTTTGGGAATTTTTTTTAGTTTTTAAATGTTCTGGAATGAAATAGTGGTGATGATTGTACATAGGAATACACTGTTGTCGAGTCAGTTCTGACTCATAGTGACTCTGAATAGGGTTTCTGAGAAGCAGCCGTGAGTTTGAACCACCAACCTTGTGGTTCAAACTGATCTTGCGGTACAGTGCTTATCCTAAAATGCCACACCAGGACTCCTAACAACTGCTAAATTGTACACGTTAAAATTGTAAATGATATGTTTCGTGAATTTTATCCCAATAAAATCCCCCCAAAATTTTTGAAGCAAAGTTTTCCCCCAGAATGAGTAATCCATGTAACACAAGCAGAAGCTTTTTTATTATTACTATTTTAACGAACTAGCTTCAGAAGTCAGGAAACATTACTTCTACCATGTTACTAGGAAATGAGTCCCAAAGTCTGGATCACAAAGTAAGGCTTTACATTTGCCATATACTTTCAGTTTCACCACACAGGAAAGGCTTCCTTGTACAAATGAAGAAACTGGGGTTCAGAGAGATTAAATAAACTTCTCAAATACAAAAGGTGCTAAAGCTAGATTTACTCTAGAAATGGCTGATTCCACGACCTATGCCCTTAAAGTTCGATCAGTAGTGGTTTTTAACTACACATACACACTTGTGCCTTCCCCCCCTCCCCTCTTTCCAGGTCCAAGGATCTGTTCAATCATGACCTCTGGGGCTGAATGGTGTTTTTTTAAAGCTCCCCAAGTGTTTCTGAGGTACATCATGGGTTCAAGACTGCCCTTTTGTGCCTTATGGTTTTGTATTATTAATATGGGTAGCTGACCTCTACATGGATGGATGGTACTTGCCTTGAGGGCAGGGCCCCCACCTCTAGCTTGCCATTGTGACAAAACAATGGCTTGCCCTGAGCAAGTAGGCATCAGAAATATCATTGGATGAAAGGATTCAGGGCAACTGCCACCCAGAATGTCAGTTGCCAAAGAGTTCCAGTGTGACTGAGAGAGATGCACAAGATGTGCCCTGGAGCGGGCTGACCTGGTCACTCTCTCCAGTGGGTGGGAGGTTCACTGGGACACACTTGGGGTAGCCTAGAGCAAAGTGTTAGAAGATAACAATCTTTCCAAACTTCCTTTCCTAGTTCCTAAATTTATAGGCATAACTTGGTGCTTAGAAGTCACTGACTGCTTGTCAACATGGATCACCGAAGCCGATTACGCAGCCCAAGCCTGACTCGAATCCTTGGTACCCAGCCCCGAGGCCACCGAGTCCCATTCCCCCTCCATGTGGAACAGGAGGCTAGGGAAGGAGAAGAATGGGACCGAGAACAACTGCGTCAGAGGCCAGTTATCTACATGCCCTGTGAAAGTGAAGAGGTACCCAACAATGTTATGGGTAAGGATATGCCCTCCCACCTTGAACAGAAAAGGATGGCTTCATTGTTCTCATCCTTTGTTTATAAAAGGCAGGGGCCAGGAAGCAGAATGCAGGGCGTATAATGGGCTCAGAACTAGGGTAAAAGGTGAGTTTAAAAAGAACTGTTTCCTATCTGCCTCCAAGGGTTGTCATGAGGAACAAGTGTATGCGAAAACAACTTGAAACTGAGAAAAACTGTTTGGAATAGTAGGTGTCATATACAAAACCAAGTGCTTACAATATCAAAGGCTTACCAAGTGCTAAGTGCTTGGGAAACAAAGATGAATTAGACATCAATTCTAGCCCCAAGGAGCTGATAGGCTAAAGAGAAAAGACAAACTATTAGGATTGCTTCTGGGGGATTCAGAAAGATAACAAGGGTTCACAGAAAGATAAAAGGGAAGCTGGGACTGGGCTGGGGGTGGGGTGGGAACCAAGGCTTCAGAGGACTCCAGTCTTACTGGTGTGTGTTGTTTCTTTGCCCCATCTTCACCTCCCATCCTAGCAAATGGGTAGATGATGGGGTCATTATCAATAGACAGATCAGCACAGTGCTGGGAGAAAGGGTTTGGGGGAACTTTTGAAATCTTGGCTTTAAAAAATGTATACCTTTGAGACCGACTTGCCACCACGCTGCCTGGTTGCCCTGTAGTTCTTTGCCAGCTGGGAAAAAATGGTCTAGAGATGTTGCTTTCCAGGTTAGACGTTTCTTCTCCAAATTTCCCCAGGATCTAAAAGTGCTGCAACTAGATGGGGATTATGGCTGGCACGATTCACAGAGAGCCCTGTAAAGAAAAACTGAGTAAATATCTGTTACAAGTATATAAAGTTTTGAGGTAGAAAGGTTCGTTTCCGTTTGGGGGTGAGATGGTGTGCAGTAGTGAAGCTTTGTGGAAGGAATGAGCCTGAAAGGATGAGAGGGTCTGCAAGAGTACTGAGGGCTCGAGGCCAGTTGGGCCACACAGGACGCCACTCACAAGCGATGGCGGGAAGCCAGTCATTGGCAACAGTGGAAAGCTGGCTTTGTGGAAGAGATGGGACGTGACTATGATGTTAAGTGCCATCGAGTAGGTTACGACTCATAGGGACCCTGCATAGGACTTCCAAGTAGCAGCTGGTAGGTTTGAACTGCCTACCCAGGGGTTCGCAGTCCAGGGCAATTAATTCATCAGGGTCTCAAACAGCGCTGAGGGAGACCATACAGTCAGTCATAGCAGACGCCACCTGGCTGCCTTCTGGAGTTGGTCGAAGCTTCCTTTGGCGAGCTAGGTCACCCACAAGGGCGCAGGCCCAAACTAGGGGAGGTGGAGGCGGAGCCAGTACCACGTGGTGGGGGCAGGGGCGGGAAGAGGCCCTGAAAAACTCGTGCTTTGCAAACTGGAGGCAAAATGTAAGCCAGTTCAGGAGAAGGAAAGTTACTTTTAGATTTGGGTGGAAGATAGTGTGCTGATGGTGAGGCTTTGTGGAAGACATGGACTTGATAGAATGACAGTGCCTAAAACAGAGCAGAGAAAAGGAGCAACTTTTGCCAAGTAGGGCGACGATTAGCAGCGTTGGTCGCCACAGCCGCGCAGGCGCAAACGCCGGGGAGGGAGGACGAGGAGGTGGGGCCACCGCCGGCGGGGTGGGGCGAAGCGCAACGGGGCGGAGCTGGTCTCGCGCGGGCTTCCTGCGCGCTATAGCTGCTGGCTCGAGGCGGGAGAAGTTCGTGCTAAAGCCTAGGGACGTTCCTAAGCTCTTGTGGTCCTAGAAGTTTCGCGCCACAGTTTCTTGCCACGATGACCGCTAGCCAGAGCCAAAAGCTCCTGCTGCCTCTGCTGCTGCTCTTACTGCTGACTGGAGCTTTGCGGGGTTGGGAGGCTGAGGAGAGGCCCCGGACCCGCGAAGAAGAGTGCCACTTCTATGCGGGCGGACAAGTTTACCCTGGAGAGCCGTCCCGCGTTTCGGTTCCCGACCACTCCCTGCACCTCACCAAAGCCAAGAGTAGGTGGTGCTTCGTCAAAGGGTGGTGACTGGTGGGAGGCAAACAGCGGTGGGGACGGGCCCGAGACACGTGTACTCTGGTAGCGGTAGTTCCCCGAGGGGCCTAGGCTTGAGCTGCACCCACTGAGCTCCCACGGGTCTGGTTCTCTCCCGGGAGGAGGGGGCGGACGAAGTGGAGAGGGGACTCCAGCTGCAAAGAAAAGGAGTATTTCCCACAGATCAGATTTGTCATCGTTTGTGGTTACCCCAAAAGCCGCAGCTGAAAGAGAAAGGGTGTTTGTTCCTTGTCCGGAGCTCACAGGCTTTAGGGATGTTGTGCAAACTGAAACACTTCCTCCAGCAAAGCACGTTCCGGCCGCACATCCATCCCTCTGTTTCCAAGTACTACTACAGAGTTCCGCGGGAGAAAGATGAGGCTTTCTGCTCCCGCAAAGATCGAAAGCCTCGGAAACCCTGTGCGGGGTCGCTAGGAGTCGGAACCGACTCGACGGCACTTAACAACAGCGTTATAGAGTTAGCTGCTTGCTTGACTCTTGGCCGATATTCAGGGAGAATATATTTGTGGGGTGAATAATAATTCACAGAAAGTTTGATTTAACAGAAAAGTGAACCAAATACTCAGGAGGGCAAGCATTCATCTTCCCAAACCTGAGTCTGTATTGGCTATTCCGTGTTGCTCAGCAATTAAGAACCGATTGCAGAGTTCTTTGGAGGGGAAAGGACGGGACTAGAGGTTTGGAAAGAACGCGTTTGGGTTGATGATAAACTTCGTGGCAAGTTTGGGTCCTGCCAATTTGGCCTTTGATTATTTGCGTCTTTGTCCAATGTACACAGGAATGGTCAGTTTCTGGGAAGGACACGTCAGGCTAGGATACGTAGAAAGTTGTGGCAGGCTGGAGCTGAACTCTAAATTGGCCAAAAGAAGTGGATGGGGAACGATAGGGGAATAGACTGACGGGCTCGCTTTTCAGCGGATCCTTTGACCTTCTTTAGGCGTGTTATTTGGTTTTGGTGGTTCTATTACAGCATTTCTTGCGGGGGAGGGGGGGCGGGCGGGCAGTAATGCTTCTATGAATCCCTGGTGCTCATTGGGATTTGGGGTATTATTATGACAGGGTGGGGTGGGAGTGATCAATGAAAAAAACTGTTGACCTCCTTAAGCAGGCAATTCTTTCCTACTGAAAGTTAACTACTGTGCGATTTTAGTTGGTAAAATCCAGTCTTGCACTGTTAATAGAGTATTTCAAGTTAGTTTTGCTTTCCTGGGAAATATTTTGAAATTTGTTAGCCAGTTAAGTGTTTACTGACATTACATATGTTTCTCACAGGAAACAAATCCATTCTAAAAGCAAAAAAATATGATATATTTCCCTTTACCAACAAACGTTTTCAAATTTTAGTTATTTGCTATATATGTGTGTTTAGGATTATCTAAAATAAAAGATATAAGAGCTTTTATTCATAAGATGGGAGTGTGGTGGCAGTGTAGGAGACACATTGGACTGCTAACCACCAGGTTGGTGATTCAAGGCCACCAGCTGCTCTGCAGGTGAAGGGTGAGGCTTTCTGCTCTCACAAAGATATACAGCCTTGCAAACCTTATGCAGGATCCCTAAGGTTGGAATGACTTGATGGTACTTAAACATTCATAAAATGGAATATTATAGAATCATTAATATGTCATATTTTCAAATAATTTTTAGCAATTTGAAAACCTCTGTTCATGATTAATTTACTGTACTCAAAGGCTCTTAACAAATAAAAGTGTGCAACAAGATCTAAAAATGTGTGTTTAGAAAAGACACAAAATGGGAACAGTAGTTTAAGTTGGTGGGAGTTATGAAGGGGGGTGGTTTAAAGATTCTTCTTTATACTTCTCTGCATTTACCAGAATGTTTATATTAACTAATATATATATATATATTCAGGGCAGTTTTGTTTTCTACCGTGCAAGGGGTTGCTTTGGAATTCCACTTACAGAAATTAGCAAAGTAACTGGATGGATGACAGTTTTTCTTTGAACAAACACTGCGATTCATTTTCTTTTCTTTTTATTGTGAAGCAGTGTTTAGTGTATATCAGATATACGGGGGGCAGAAGGACTGCGTGTTCTCAAAAGATTGCCTCCAAACACTGCAATTCTTAAGTGCCCAAAATGTTCATGATAAAATTTATTTTTCAGATTAATTTTCCCAATATGCAGTAATCACTAAAAAGTGTCATTGTAGTATATCATTACAATTATAACTTCAAACCTAACATGTAGGGTTTCAAGCAATGTATATAAAGTTCAGTCGTTTTCTGGAGGAGCCCAGGAACTCAGTGGGTAAGTAAATGCTCAGCTGCTTAACTAAAAGGCCACTCCACAGAAGAAAGATCTGGCCATCTGCCCCTATAAAAATTAAAACCAAACCCACTGCCGTTGAGTCGATTCCAACTCATAGCAACACTATTAGGCATAATAGAACTGCCCCATAGGGTTTCCAAGGTTGTAATCTTTAGGGTAGTTGTTGTTGTAATGTGCCATGGAGTCGGTTCCGACTCATAGTGACCTTATACAGGGTTTCTGAGGCTGTAAATCTTTACAGGAGCAGAAAGCCTCATCTTTCTCCCGCGGAACAGCTGGTAGTTTCAAACTGCTGCCCTTAAGGTTCGCAGCCCAATTCGTAACCACTATGCTACCAGAGCTCCTTTTAGGGTAGTTGTTGTTTTTGTTAAGTTCCGTGGAGTTGGTTCCGACTCATAGCGACCCTGTACAGGGTTTCTGAAGCTGTAAATCTTTACAGGAACAGAAAGCCTCATCTTTCTCCTGTGGAACAGCTGGCAGTTTCAAACTGCCGACCTTGAGATTAGCAGTCCAATTTGTAACCACTACTATACCAGAGCTTTTAGGGTAGTAGATGACCACATATTTCTCCCATGGAGTGGCTGGTGGGTTTGAACTGCCTAACTGCCAACCTCTTGTTTGCAGTGAGAGCTTAATCACTGCCACCAGAGCTCCTTTGGTAAAGATTACCATCTAGGAAGCCCTATGGGGCAGTGGGCAGTTCTTCTCTGTGCTGTAGGATTGCTATGAGTCAGAAGTTAACTCAACAGCAGTGGGGTTGGCTCTGGTTACCTTTCTGCTAAACCTCCCCTCCCCCCAGCCTTTACCCAGTCATATCAAGGTTATTTATATAAGGTAAAGTAAGTAATCCCAGAGAAATGCATCTTCAGTTTGTCTCTTATTTACTAAATAACCATAAATGCTGGATATTACACAAAAATTTAAGTCTTGCTTTCTAGAAACCTTAGTCAAACATGAAAGCAAATATTGACCTCAATATATCTAATGCTTCTGAAAGTTTCAGTGCTAATCTGAATGTGTTAACAGAGCATCAAGGTACATTATTTTCAACTTTACAGCACACCCTTATAAGAGCGTGGCATGAACTGTTAGGTTTTGAACAGGTCATTTGAAACCTGTTCAAAAATGACTCCTCTTGCAAGGCCTTCTAGTAAAATAATCCTGTGGTCTGGGATTTTACATTTCTCGCCTGATTTGTAGTGAGTGTAGTCTAGTCTACAGCAGGTCGGCAGTGTATATGTGAGATGCATCCAGAACAAGCCACACTAGCATTAGCAGTACTTACTTGTGCCTTATCTCCAGTAGAATCATAGATATTTTCATGCCAAATGTGGAGTCCTGGTGTGGCACGGTAGGATATACATTGGACTGCTAACTGCAAGGTCAACAGTTCAGACACACCAGCTATTCCTTGGAGCCCTATATAAGGTCTCTATGAGTCGGAACTGACTCGACAGCACTTAACGACATGGTTGTTGCAGGTATCCTGAAACATAGTTTGCATTCAGTATTGTCTTAGTTAGCTGTCGACCCCTGCTAGCTCTTGCAGTTTTAAAGTCTTAATTAAAAGTGTTTATATAATTTCCATATACTAGTAATTGGTTTCCTATGTATTTTGTGTTATGTGTTCAATAACATTATTCTGAGAAGGGGTCTGCAGACTTTGCCAGACTGGTCAAAAGATTACGAAGCCCTGATATGTACTGGTTTCCTAAAGATGTCCTGCCATCCCACCAACTTTCTCAGTGCTATAAAACATCATATAATCTTTTTTCTTTCTTAGTTTCCAAGCCAGCACCTTATTGGGAAGGAACTGCTGTGATCAATGGAGAATTCAAGGAGCTCAAGTTAACTGATTATCGTGGGAAATACCTAGTCTTCTTCTTCTACCCACTTGATTTGTAAGTACTGTATGTAAATAACAGTAAATCCTCAATCATGATCAGTGATTCAAGACAACATAGTTAGAAATGTTTTTATTCAGCTTTTGGGCATTTAAAAAGGAAGAGCCAAAAGGGAAGCTGAAATGAGAAATTTATTCCAAAAGCCAGTGTCTATAGTATATTTCAGAGTACTGGTGTGGTGCTGTTGGTTAATGCGCTGGACTACAAAGTCAGTTTAAATGGCAAGGTGGGGGGGGGGTGGTTCAAGGTCACCAGCCGCTCCTTGAAAACCCTATACAGAGTCGCTATGGGTCGGAACCAGCTCAACAACACTTAACAGTGACAACATAGTGTATTTCAGGATCACACTGATCTCAATACTTTATAATTACAGCTACATGATTATGTTATCATTAAAGAAAAAGTAGAAGAGGGCCTTGTCAAGAAAGAGAGGGGAGTTAGAAAGCATTTCCTCATCTCCAAAATACTGATACCTCCAACTAGCTCAGAGGATTGGGATGTTATTGTTGTTGAGTGCCATCTAGTTTGTTCCGACTCCTAGCGACCTTGTGTAGGGCTTACAAGGTGCAACTGGTGAGTCTGAACCAGGAGCCTTTCAGTTAGCAGTTCAGTACTTATCCTACACCAGAAGTCCTTTAGGGTTGATACAGCAATGTTTTAAAAAATAGTGAAATGATGTAAAGTTTGTGTAGGTCCTTTGAAAATTATCAAGCATTATATAAATGTGGTTTGTAAGTGCCGTTGCAGTTCAAACCGACTGTGCAGTCCAGCACATTAACCCACAGCACCACACAAGGACTCCTACTCTATAAATATACAGTATTAAATAAAAGCGAATTAAATGAGGCTAAGAAGAGTTGAACATTAGTGATCACTGGTCCATTAAGTTATAGTAAGAAAATTTATTGAGATATAATTGAACTCTTAAGTACTTTTTATTGAATAATATTTGATCAAATAATAATATTTTTTACCTACTCCATCTCCGGAAGGTATATATATGTGTGTGTGTGTGTGTATAACTTAATATGTAATTTTATATACTAAAGATGTTTGTAAAAATAAACTCATTTATGTATTTTGAGAAAACTGAATTTTATTTATTTATTTTTTTTACTTTTAGCACATTTGTGTGTCCCACAGAAATTATCGCTTTTGGCGATAGAATTGAAGAATTCAGATCAATAAATACTGAAGTGGTAGCCTGCTCTGTCGATTCACAGTTTACCCATTTGGCCTGGTTAGTACCTTATTTTTGCAGGATAATAAAGTGGATATATTCTGAAATCATAGACTAATATGTATTTTTTAACTTATGGTAGTTTGGGTGAAAATTTACACAGCAAATTCGTTTTCCATTCAATAATATGTACATAGTTGACATTGGTTGCAATCCTTTCAATGTAACAGCACTCGTCCCAGTTTCTGTCTGGATTTCCCATATCCATTTTCCTTCTTTCCTGTCCCTTCCTGCCTTCTGAGCTTTGGTTTTGGGCAAAAGATGCCCTTTTGATTGAACTATTAATTGTCAGACTTTTCGGGACTAGATTTTTCTGAGCTGGTATTCAATGAAGTTATGAAATGCTTAAGGATTTTATAGGACATTTCAAAATTGGGGTAAAAATTAAATGCAAGAAATGTGATTTCCATGGCAAAACCCACTAAATTGTATGATATATTTATTGTAATAAATTATATAATCTCAATTTGAAAGGGAAAAACTATGCCTTTTCTGTTACTCATTTATCTAGTATGGTGAGTTATATTCAAAATAGCTTTTTATAATTTCTCAAGAAGCAATGGTTTTGGTGGGTTTGTTAAACTTTTTATTAATTGAGTGAAAATTACAGAGTAGATCATCAGTTTTACATTCAACAAATCTTATACTTTGCTTCATTACAATGATTGCAATCCCCTCCATACACCATCAATTAACAGTGTTTACCTCTGTTCACTTTAACTATTGCATTCTTCCCTGTGTCTCCTGCTACCTTCATCTTTTTTCTGCTGACCCTCTTGTTGTAATTGCCTGCCCCATTACCCATGTTAACATGTGTCTACCCTCTAGCCCGTGAATAATTTTTCCTCCCCCTTCCGTAACCATCATGATTGTTTCTTTTATTAAGAAAACCTTTTAAGAAGCAATAGTTTTTTTTAAAGTTCATTTAAAAAAGGATTTTCATCTAATTAGTTTCAAAGAATTGTAAAATCAAATGACAAGAAATGGCATTCACCCACACATAATTGGTTCAGCATTTCTGGAGAGCCATTAGGCAACATATTTCAAATTTTGAAGTGTTTTTACACAGTAAAGATATTCAGAATTATTTTGTTTTTTAAACTTATTAAAGGTACAAATTCAAGACACAAGTTCTTCTCCACTTAAAATTATTTTCTAAGAAGGGATTTCAAAAAATTTCATGGCAAAATTGCATTTTGCCATGAACTTTTCCAACCACCTCGTATACCTAACAAATTTTAATTCAGTGGGAAACTACAATTTAAGTATTTTTAAATGCAGTTAAATATATTTTATTTTTAACTTAAGATACAAATTTATACTTACGGTGGTTTAATATAAATATATTAAATAGCTTTAATTTGCTTTATCATTTCTATAGTAATTCTAAATCTTCCAAGGGTTAAAACATATACCCACCAAGGAAAGTTATATCATCCCAAATAATTTGGGATTGGTTTCCCAAGGAATTTTTTGGGTGCCTTCTCAATTGAGTAGGTTTATCTCATCCAGAGATTTTGACTTGGATGTCAGAACTGGGCCTGTAGACATCTGGGTCCATTTTTCAGTGTTCTACAGTTGCTATGCCAGTACCCTCCCATTGGGATACCAGTCCACATCCCCTGTTTTCAATTTACAGAATACTTAATACTAAGTCTGAGATTATAACTAACTTTCTTTCACTGCGTCAGGTGGACTTTGCATTTCTTTTGCTCTCAGAATATTTAAATATAATCCAGTTTTATTCTACCTATCTGTCAAGGTCTCATATTTTTATCACAACTCTTAAGGTTTTGATTATGACTAGATATCCCTTAATCCATCAGTTCTAGGAATTACTCAGACAAGTGTGCAAAGATGGGAATACAAGGATGTTTCCAGCAGTGTTTAGAAAAGCAAACAAAGAGGGGAGATCTAAATGTTGCATCTGTAGGAATAAGTTAAATATGGTATATCTATACATCAAGAATATGATATATTTTTGAATGTATGATGTATGTATCTATATGTAGTGTTTAAAGAATGCCAACATATTGTTAAGTGGGAAAACAAAAGAAAATACAATGTATATTAGCCTGATTGTGCATCTGCAGAGAAAGAGTGCTATCTTGATATATACCATTTACTTCACTCTGAGAGGTAAACGTTCTGTTTGTTACAGGATTAATACCCCTCGAAGACAAGGAGGTCTTGGGCCAATAAGGATTCCACTTCTTTCAGATTTGACCCATCAGATCTCAAAGGACTATGGGGTCTATCTGGAGGACTCAGGCCACACTCTTAGGTACCTTTCAGTAGTTTTACATTAGGACAAATTCAAGTATACTTGTAATCTTCCTTGAAATGGATGTTATTTTCAATTTAAAAGACATAAGGTTTGATCAAGAAATATTTATTTTGCTCTATTTGCAAGCATATTGTAGATACTCATTAAATTAATTGGTAAGTGCCCTACTTAAGCTGTGCTAGTAGACAGAGCTAGAAGGTTATTTGCAGGACTTTTACCACCCTGTCATTTTATAGATAAAAGAACTAGATTCATAGAACTTAATCAGTTATAGAATCAGTTAATGGCAGAGTTCAGACTTGAACCTAGGTCCCCCAACTCCTTGTCTGCTTCTTTTTCCTCTTTTCCCACACTGACTCCAGCAATGTTTTCTCTAAATGCAAGTATCGTAATTGGCATACCTTGGTCTTTGGAGTAGAAAATGTTCAGGAACTATCTGACTCAGCAGCTCTCACTGAGTCATTTGGAAAGGGTATAATATTGGCCTAACACTTGTCATTTTGTTATAATTATGTTTAGCTATGTTTAACAGTGCAAATAATTTCTTTTTTTGTTTTATGTTGTCAATATTTTATAAACCTCTACTTTCATAAGTTATATTGAGATAATTCTCATATTGTATAATTCACCCAGTTGTGCAACCATCAGCACAATTTTCGGACATTTTCATCACCCCAATATTCATCATCTCAATGGCAGGTCTTTTCAGTCAAAGTACTTCATTACTTCCCAGTCTGAAGAAGTGAATCACACATACGGAGATTTAGAGATTAGAGGGAGAGGTAACTTGGCTTAGATTGGTGACCTTGTTTTTTTTCCACTGTTGAAGAAGGAAGATGTAAAGATATCTTAAAGTGGTTTAAAAAAAAAAAATGGGTCATTCATTTGCCCAGCAGAATGAATGCTTCACTGTATAGTTTCATCATTTTGTTTACAGTGCAATAAAATCCCATACCTAGTATTCCTGAATATGCAGCTGTAAATACTCTAGTATACTAATTTCATAGTTAAAAGCAGATTTTTAAAGCTACCATTTAGCAGTGATAATACCATATTACAGAGTGAATGAGTGAGTGAGAATATTTGTGTGTATACGTCCTTCCATATGGATGATAATGGGATTTGCATTAATTCTTGTCTTAACTGAGAAGACATGGCCTTACCTCTACCATTCTATTTTACAGAGGTCTATTCATTATTGATGACAAGGGAACCCTAAGACAAATGACTCTGAATGATCTTCCAGTGGGTCGATCAGTGGATGAGACACTCCGTTTGGTTCAAGCATTCCAGTACACCGACAAACATGGAGAAGGTACCCTTCCTTTCTAAGCAATGTAGCCTTTTGATATTTTAGTTTGAGAAATAGCAGAATTTGTTTGGTTTCTTATCCTAATAGGATGGTTCCAGAGTTTTCAAATTATTAGCAGACCTTTTTAACAGATCACAACATTATTTGAAGTGCTATTAACAAAACATCATTGACATATTTTACTTACTGAATAAGGTGCAGACATTCATTTCTGGCATAGCATTTTGGGATAAATTTTAAAAGTTAAAGTTTCTGCAATACAGGTATGCCCCACTTTTTAAAATTGCTTTACACCACCTCTGTTAGTACCTATTTTTGCTATTCAAAAGGCATTTTGTGAAGATTTTCGCTTTTACCAAAAAAAGGGGGAAGTGAAATTAGTGCTCAGCATTTGTTTTACAGCGAGCTGTTAAAGAGGCAGTACTCACCTTGAACAGCAAGAATGGCGTTGCTAAGCTCCTTCCCAGGGAACTGTACTCAGCGTCAAGCTGCCATCACTTTCAACTGTGTCTGTGAACACTGTGTTACTGTTATTTTAGGTTTTATGTGTTATTAACTATGATTTGAGTAGGTTGTTTTGGTGGGGGTGTCTAGAACTCCTGGTGTGAGACTGTAGGATCAGCACTGGACTGTGAACTACAAGGTCAGCAGTTCAAACCCACCAATTGCTCCTTGCAAACCCTATACAGGTCACTATGAGTAGGAACCAACTCAGTGGTACTTAACAGCAATAGTAACAGGAATGCTTAAAAATGTTTCCAATATAGCTAATAGTAATTGCTGTGCTTTACACCATTTTCAGCATAGGAAAGGTTCCTTAGGAACGCTATACTTTCAGATAGTGAGGGAAACTTGTATTTCTGTAACTTAAAATATATGCCTACCTGGTACTATTTTATAATGTAGGTTTCATCTATTTACATATTATTTGATTTAACATTTTTAATAATGTAGTACTCAGGGTTTCTTAGTGTCACACTGATAATTTATCAATTCATCCTTTTACTCTGAGATTTATCAATAACTAAATGAAAAACTCAGATTTTGCTGAGCTATAACACATGTGTAACTCAGTGCCTGAGCCAAGATACATTCCAAATAAAAGGGAAATCCTACTTTTCCAAATAAGTTTAAAGTCACTCAATAAACAGCCATGGCACCAGTACAAAATGCTGCAAGAATATGTAGCAGACAGGCTGACTGGAAGTTTATGTAAATTCAGAGACATGTTTGGCCTGCCCACATCTTTTAAGTCAATAGATTCCTAAACTTTATTAGAGGAACGCTTAATTTGGTTTCTTAAATGTAAGTGTAACTAAACTTAATTGTCAAAAATTAAAATAGATTAGTTGCCTGCTCACAAGTTCCATGACTAAAATTCTTTGATGGGAGCAGCAAGCACCAGCAAGTGCTCGGTGGCCTGGAAATGCTATTAATATAGACTCAGTTTTCAGTTGTATGTGAAAAAGAGAAGTTAAGTTAGGAGTTGTAGAGGAGAACTGACCTTTTGTCTTTTCAACGGCCTTTCCCATTTATTCTTTTGCAGTCTGCCCTGCTGGTTGGAAACCTGGTAGTGAAACAGTAAGTCAAACTGATTTTTCTCTTAAAGAGATTGGGGGTAGGGGGAAATGGCAGCAAGAAATGCCATCCTTAGAATAGTCTTCCCTTGTAATACAGTACTGTCGTGATTTTGTACCCAAGTAAACATTGCTAGATAGAAATCAGCGCATACAGGCATTCTTTGAACTATAGGCAGAATAGCTAAAACTGGAGAAAGCAGAATATGGTGCTTAATGGTATGAGTTTTAAAGCAAAGAAATACACTATCTAAATAAAAGTTTTAAAAAGACTGAAGACATGGTAGATAAATTCAGAGGTCTCTGAGATCATGTCTGGAATTTCTTCCTATAGTGTGAGCAAAAGAAACCTTTCTGTGCATGTATAGTAAAAAAAAATCTTTTGAGAAAATCTGGTTTAACACTGAATCTAATGATTCTCTCCTTGTCATTTGTTTCCTTTGAAGAAAGAAAAGATTGAAATTGGTACTTTCTATAATTTTAGGGTGACTATAATTTATGGAAGGAGCTCTGGTAGTGTAGTGATTACGAATCAGGCTGCGAACCTTAAGGTCAGCTGTTCGAAACTACCAGCTGTTTCGCAGGAGAAAGATGAGACTTTCTGTTCCTGTAAAGATTTACAGCCTCGGAAACCCTGTACAGGGTCGCTATGAGTTGGAACCAACTCCACAGCACATAACAACAACAATAATTTATGGACCATCCCTAAAGTAGTCCCTAGCCAAAATAAAATTTGGAAACTTGTTATAAACCTTTAATTTAAAAAAAATGCTTATCGTCTAAAAATGAATATACAAGTTATAGTTAGGAAATTGAAAAATAGGTAGAACATTGGAGGGAAGAAATTATTCTTAGGGTAATAGAAAAATATAGACTCCTAAGACTTTTCTTCTTGTTAAAGTGCTTTTGAGTTGGTTCTGACTCATAGTGACCTGTATAAGCTTTCCAAGGAACAGCTGGTGTTAACCTTGCAGTTAACAGTCCAGTGCTTATTCAACAGCACCACACCACACACACACACATATATATATGGACTTGTTGTTAAGTGCCGTCGAGTTGATCCCGACCTATAGCGACCCTCTATAGGGTTTCTGAGGAGCAGCTGGTGGTGAGCTTGAACCGCCGACCTTGCAGTTCAAATGGCTTTGCAGTCTGGCGCATTAACCCACAGCGCCACACCAGGACTCCATATATGGACTTAGCAAACCAAAAAAAGTACATTAACCACAATCAAAGGTAGACATTTACTCTGGAATCTCCAAGTAGGTAAAGCTACATTTTACTGGTTTTGAATCAATTTCTGATGATTTTTGCAAAGCTGCTTGCCCTTTGAGGGTCAAAGTTGATGTTATAGTACAAACTTACACTCCTCTATACATAGATCTGATGAGCCTCAAGGGGGATTTGAGGTTATGCATTAAAAGTACTGAAAGTACCATGTACTTTAAATCATGAATTAGTCATTAGGTTAGTATACATTTATCAATTGTGAGGCTTATAAATAGAAATACACATCAGAAGCTTCTGGCATCACCTGAGAATCCTTAAAAAGCATCTCTGGGTAGTTCTTTAAAGTAGGGACAACTTCCCTCTGAAGCTGTAGCAAATCCAACTGTGACTGATGAATAACATCACTATGAATCCCTGTCCTGAGAAATCAGCAGAACTCCCAAGTAGTACAGGTTCACTTTGAAGTTTTATAGGATGAGTTTTTCACATCTCAGAAAACATGTTGACAATTTGCAGGATTAAGTTTTGAGAGGCCACAAACACCATTGAGAATCTAATTAAAATCATGGATTCTCCTTCCAGAAGAATTCCCATGTGTTGTCACATACTGTATTTGGTCACTCTTTCAGCAAACATTTGTTGAGCACCTGCTACCTGACAATTATTCAAACTATTACTATAGCCAGACAGTATCTATAATGAACAACACCACCAAGTTCCCTGCTCTTAAATTCTAATTTTTGACAGTGTTAAATGTTTTTTTTAAGTGGGTTGATGGGATAGTGCCTGGCATGGGGACTTCTGAAATAGCATATAAGCAGAAACAAGAGAGAAGAGAAAGATCCACTTGTGTAGAGCTGGCAGAAAAAATAAGGGCAAAAGCCTTGAGGCAAGAGCCAGCTTAGCATGTTTAAGGAATAGAAAGGGGACCAATGTGGTAGGAATCTAGTAAGCTACTTAGAGGGAAAGAATGCCAGCATCATGTGTGACATAGAGTCAGAGTATAGTGAGAACTGATTCTGTAACATGGAGGCCATTAGTTACTATAGTGAGGGCAGGTATCAGTTGGAACTAGTTTGAGGTTGGGGGCAGGTACAAGGTGAGGAAAACAATATAAAATATAGAAAAATTAAGTAGCTGGAGAGGAGGATATAGGGTCAAAAAAGATTTTGTGGTGCTGTTGCTTTGAAGCTAGATGAATCTGTCATCTCCATCTCCTTCAGTTCTCTCCTGCATGTGGTAGAGATTTCCTGCTTGGTCTTCCTGACCTAAGTTTCTCTCCTCTACAATGCTTGTCATTCATTAGACCAGAACCTTTAATGGCTTGCCAAACTTGAGACAAAGCCCGGATACTCAGGAATAGCCTTCAAGCCTTTCCATTCTGTATCCACAGGCCGCTCCCAGCCTCACCTTCCCTAGGACTACTGCACTCATGCATGCTGTGCTCCTGCCAAATCACGTGATTTGTTACTTGCCAAAGTAGCCCTGCTTTTTTGCATCACTGTGCCTTTGCTCCAGTTTTTCTGCTGCGTGGAATGCCTGCCCCCTTTAAATTCTACTCATCTCTGAAGACCAACTTAATGCCACCTCCTCTTGGAAGCCTTCCCTGATTCTACCACCAGCCTCCATTGGGCCACACGGCCTGGGTTACAGCACAATAACACTGTGCATCAGATCACAAACCAGTTGTATGCATGTACATCCTTCCCACATTCTTCTAAGCGCTTCAATGGCCTTTGTATCCCTGCTGCTCAGTGTACTGTTGATACATGGTAGTTATGCAGAAAAAATTGTGATTGAATTTAAATGCAGAGATTCTAAATTGGCAAAGACAGAATTTTCCTTGATGTGCTGCCCATAAACAGTTAAAATTCATTTTAAACTAACGAAAAACTGAAGAAAGCGCATATCGAACTGCATTAAACCAGTTATAGTAGGTTACTTTTGTATATCTATAAGTATAGGTGTCTTTTACCTGTAACTGACAAGTTAATAGAGTTAATAGGAGGTAACATTTTACTGGAAATAAAGGTCAGGTTGGTTTCTAAGGCTGTGATGCATGTCTTGAGTATATGTTCATAGTTAATGAACGTAATACTTGAGTATTTTTGAGCATTTTGGGGTTTTTTTACTTTGTATTTTGAGATTAAAAGACTGTGTTCTGGTCTTTTGCCTTGGTTTGTCCCTCAAAGCAAGAGATGGGTCATTAGCCTATGTGATCTTTAAATGGATTATATCCAAGACACCTACCCCAAAAAACTTTTTGTATATTTCATTGGGGGGGGGGAGTTGTTTTCTGTACTGTCCCTCCACCCCCAAAATTCTTTCAATTAAACCTTCAGTGAACACACTGCCTCCTTCTCAGATCTTTTGGCATGCCACTATTTCATCAGCAAATGATCTCAGAAATACATTAGCATCTGTAGCTGTGCTCTCTTAATGTGTTTGAATTACTTAGATCAAACCTGAAGATGCCATGCAAGCCTGGTGGCCAAGAGAAGAGTTGTAAGTAAAGTTTGGGGTGCTTGAGTACAGATGTTAATTTATTAAATAAGAAATTTGCCTTGTGGGATTATCTGAGATTAATAGGCAGGACAAATCCAGTTTTTCCTAAATATATGTAATACAATTTGGTACACAAAAATAATCTTTTATCTTCTTTAGTTGAAATGGACAACCAATGTCAGACTAATTATGTACTTTAGATTTTAAAATAAATAATTTGCTTTTTATTTTAAACAGATAATCCCAGATCCAGCTGGAAAACTGAAGTATTTCGACAAACTAAATTGAAAATTACTTCCTCAGGGCATGGATGTTTGAGCGTTACCAATAAAGTTCAGTGTTTTGTTACCACATTGCATTGTAATAGTAATTTCTTGGAAAATATAAAAATCCATGTCATAGTTCAAAGATATTTAGTGTTCAAGATATACCTGATACCAAAAGACAGACTGTTCTCCATCTTTACAAAGTTAGAAAAGTCACATTGAACCAGACAAGTAACAATAGAAGTGTTGTATAGTTAAGGGATCTGGTACTTGGGAGAATTTACCTCATCCTCTCTTTCATGTTAATCTTTCTCAACCTTCACAAAAATTCTTATTCCCAGGGAAAGCCATCTCTAAAAATGGTGGTATTACTGGACTCCTGACCAAAACAGTTCTGTCATAAATGATTGGTGGTTAGTGACAGACATTTATGGGGAATCCAGCCTTCATAGCATTCTCCAATGTTCTCAATGCTAACAACTTTAGAAGCTAATCTTTTAGTAAAGTTGAAGACTGCTAGTATTTGGTGTTTAAACAGGCCTATGGTTATCTTGGTAAGCAATGATTTTTATAAGCATTCTATTGGAATCCTATTCTCATACTTCCTTTTCTAACCTAAAGAAGTGCATTTTTTACTCATGAAAATAGACTCTCTGGTTGAAAGTTAACCATTCTTTGGAGCTTTACTAGCTAGCTCTCCAGTTCGTCCTGGGTGTGAGAGTATTGAAAATACTAATATTAGGGTTCCAGTTCATACATGCATGAATATTCTCACACACACACCCAAAAATTTTAAACATCTCTGATCAGTAGAGGGCTGCAGATCTCTCAGTAATACATTTGTCTTAGTCTCATTAGAGTGCCTTCAATAAAAAAAGTCCAACCAAAACAGTGGCTTCCAAAGGGGTCTGCTGGGCCAGTTAAATTCAAGGTAGAGAGCTCAGCTCAGAATGTTATGGTGACTGTTTGGGGGGATCCTATGGAGTCCTGGTGTGGCGCTGTGGGTTAATGTGCCAGACTGTAAAGCTGTTTGAACTGCAAGGTCAGTGGTTCAAGCTCACTAGCTGCTCTTCATAAACCCTATGCAGGGTTGGAACCAACTCGACGACACTTAACGAGTCCTGGTGTGGTGCTGTGGGTTAATGCACTGAACTGCAAAGTCAATTGGAACAAAAAAGGCAGTTCCAGCTCACCAGCTGCTCCTCGGAAACCCTATACAGGGTTGCTATGAGTTGGAACGGATTTAACGGCACTTAACAAAACAGGGTCGCTATGGGTCGGAACCGACTCGACGGCACTTAACAACAACAACAACAAAAACAAGGGATTGTTTTGATAGATTTTCTGAAAGACACAGGATGATCACTGGCTTATTAGGAAGAAGTGTAAGAAAATTGCATTGGTGAGGGAAAAAAAAAAGAAGAGAGCTGTACCAAGGAATTTTTTCCATCATAACTGTACCTCGTTTTTTTGAGGGTAGCAAGGACTATCCTAGAATAATTTTATTGGGAAATCTGACTCCATCCACCTTAAAGCTTTGATCCTGCCCCTTTAAACTTCATTTCGTTCCCCAAACTCAAAAGAACAATTACAAATAGCAAAGTTTTTGAGTCCCTCAAGTTAGCCAAAGCTGCTGTTTTGACATGTAAATTGAAGAGCACAGAAGTGTTTAGGGAAGGATTATTGTTAAGTGCCATATAGTCAGTTCCAACTCATAGTGACCCTGTATAGGGTTTCCAAAGATCAGCTGATGAGCTTGAACCGCCAACCTGGCAGTTCAAACAGCTTTGTAGTCTGGTGCATCAATCCACAGTGCAACACCAGGACTCCTAGGGAAGGATTGTTGTTGTCAGGTGCCATCGAGTCGGAACCGACTCATAGCGACCCCATGCACAGCAGAAC